TTCTACCAGAACTTACTAAACATGTATAAATTCATGTTTTAAAATATCTGTACTTTAATGATTAGTTTTTATGTGCTTTTGATTATTTTAATGTATTCAAACTACACCTGCTTTAATGTGGAAACTTAGTATCTGAGACCTAGTCTTCAAATTTCTTACATAGTCTTTGCAGTAAATGTTCAAGTAGAGCTGAAGATTTGCAACGGCTTTTCATTTAAACCACTTACAGCTTTTAATGTATGTACAAGGTGGTATGTGATATGCAGTAGAAAAAGCACACTGCCAAGGAAATTCATAACAGGCTGGGTAGGCACTGAAGGTAGCTGGGAAGCAGCAGATGAAAGTGACGTGACTTTACATTTAACTCTATCTGCCTCAGGTTTTAATGTACATTATTAAATCCTGAGAACACAAAGCTGGGGTAGTAAGATAAATTAATCAAAATGCTGGAACTAAGTAGTAAGTTAGGCAGATTTAAGACAACAATTTCACATTTAAAAGAAAAAAAATTGAATTTGTACACAGATAAAATAACACTGTGAATAATGAAAATAATAATAGTTACAAAGGATAAAAAAATATATGGCTTAATAGTAGCACTTAGTGGCTCGGGATTTAGCTTAGCAGCACAGCACCTGCCTGGGTAGCGTAAGGTCATGAGTTTGATTCCCAGGACCAGAAAACAAAACAAAAGAAAAGAAATAATAATAGTAGCACATAATTTTTAAAGACTTTGGGATATTGATTGATCTAAGATCTAGTTGAGTCACCTTTGATGGTGAGAAAAAAACAGTATATGAGAGAAGGGACTGGTGAGGTGTGGTATGAAGAGGAAAAAACTCCTTGATGATAAATATCATGGGGAAGAAAGTTTGAGCTGTTTTTGTGTTACTCCCTACTGAGAGAGAATTACTGAAAGTTTCAAGACATCTTTCCTGTATGTAGAAGAATGGATTAAGAGTTATATGAAATTCTGTTTCTGAATTTTATGCATAAATACTCGCACTCTCATTAGAACCCCTAATCACAGTTAGAAAACAGGGAGTATGGGCAATGATGGAATAGTGGTGTTTTAAGCATCCTTAAATGGTTGGCCTACATAACCCTTCAATGACTCTCACTTCTTGTTCTATGATAAAATAAAATAATATATTAAAATACCATCCTATGCAATAGGTTGCAATTGAGACAAAAAAGGTTGTAGAGAAGTATCTGGTCAATGGATAAGATAAGAGTAGATACAAAATTATTATATGTAATTACATCACCTAAAACAATGGCTAACATATATTTATGAGGTAAGGGGATATTGTTTTTAAATTAGGTTTTTTTATTAAACAGGAGAAAAATCCTGTAAAGAAAAAGATGAGACTCTGAAAAAAACACAAAAAGCCAATTTTAATATAAAATATAAGAAAATGTGAAAAAAAGTTGAACCACAGTGAAACTCTAACCAAGGAGAGTCACCTTACAGTGGATATTTCCATACGAAAAGCAGCATCATTAAGCTGCTCTGTCACTGCTTTTCTGCCTAAGACAAGATCTGAGAGGCTTAAAACAAATGAAAGTCTATCCAATTTTTAAAGTCTCCTGGAAGCTACAAACTCAAAGCATATTACTGGGGGCTGGGGATTTAGCTCAGCGGCAAAGTACCTGCCTGGCAAGCACAAGGTCATGAGTTCGATTCCTGGTACCAGAAGAAAAGCAAAACAAAACAAAACAAAAAAAAAGCATACTATTTGTTGCACTTCTTCAATGATTTGAATTCAATCAAATGAAATTATTTTGAAGTACTGTTTTACACAAACTTTTGAAATTATAAACTTAGCTTTTGACGAGGAATCTGCATTTTGTCAAAAGAATGGAATAAAATGTCCCTGGTCAAGATATTCTTCTCAGAAGTGGTTATTTTTGCACTCTATGCTGAACATATTTAAGGCACACATTGCAGGTGAGCACCTTATTCCAAAGTGCATTTGGATTTTATCAGTAAATAAGGCCCTGTTGCTTCAATAGCCCTCTTTCCCCTTGACAGAGCTATCTCAACTCTCAGGAAGCAATCATGAGCAGTTTCTGGAGAGTCAACTGCAGGTAACTTCATGTGTACTGATTCTCTTTTATGTCAGATAAACTGACAGTTGTCATGGCTAGAGGACATGTACAGTACAAATGAGGTCATACAGTGGTATATTTAAAACAATAAAAGGAAGTTTACAAATGAAATTCTAGTGGTTTAAATAAACAGAAAAAAACTCAAAGCTGACCTCAGTATAAAATAGAGTATAAAGGAGTATAAAAGCAACATGGAATTCAAAGAACAGCTGCCCCATCTATGATTTTAAAATCACAAAATTAATCATATGGATTAAGGTACACTAGTCTAGATATTTTCATGGTAACCACAGTAGGTTAGTTTCTAATGAAAGACCTGGTAATGAATTGGCTAGGGAAAGGCTGATTTGGGAAGGAGAAGTGAAGGTCGTTGGAAGTCCAGGATTTCTCAACTCCAAATTGCCAATATTCAGACAAATAGGATTCATTGCTAAATAGTGCCCAGATGTAAGGGACAACACTGATATGTGATCTTAGCTACTATTTGACAGGAAACTGTCACCAGAAGGTGACCCCATCAGTCCAAAGGCAGAAAAATTACTAAGTCATCCAAGAAAGTGCCCGTGGGCCAGTGCACCATGGGTCCTGAGAAGCAGAGGGCAGAACATTAAGAAACATTTTCAGTTGGACCTTAAACAAAAGAGCTTACACAAAATGCATTTGCACATAGAAAAAAATAAAAGCAATTTAGTTTTCCCAGATGTTATGTCTAATAAGAGGAGAAATTAATTCATTTGGAGAAGAAACAAGATAGCATACATAAATGGCAAAGTGAATGGTGTAATCTCCTATAATAAAATAAACACCAAAGTTAGCTATGATGCTGTCTGTTCTAAGAGCACAATCCAGTCTGCAATAAATCACTGTAATAAGGTAGAGAAGTTATCTCTGGCCATATAGCAGTCAGCAGGCAGAAAAGAAAGTAATCCAAACTAATATATATGTAAAATGATAATACAAGTCCTTCCTCACCAAAATTAGCAAACACTGGTCCAATTTTTTTCACAAATGTAATGCTATCCTCAGAAAGCAACCCCTATTAGCGATTTTCATCAGCAAAGTGGTGCAATTGCAGAATAGATTTAGGAGAAGGGAGTCTTTCCTCCCGCTACATGAATGTCTCATAATAACACTTGAAAGATAAAAAGTATATAAAAATTGTAAAGTATTACCTCTCCTTGGAGGAAGGACTTATACACCTAATATCAATAATCAATTACCTAATTCAATGGAAGGACAACTATTAAATATTTAAATAAAGCACACTCAATCTAGATTCTGTCATTCCTTTTGGAGAGACCACTTGACTGCTGATATTTCAGGCATTTTGAACTTGCGCTTTCAGAATGTTCCATTTAAGAAGAAACTATACTAAATATTAAAATATAGGAAATTAACATTAAACATTGAAATGTAAAGAATTAACTTTGAAACTTCACTTTTGTCTTAAATATTAATGAGTTTGTGTTCAAAAAGAAGTGAGCAGTTTGTAATTAAAATCAAGATTCAGAAACTAAAATCAAGTGCTGGAAGTCACTATACGGCAGCAGAAAGTTTTTTTGCCAAAAAAAAAGTCTGGAACATGATGTACAGTTCTACATTTTTGTTCTGAAAATTCTATTCTCTTTATAAATTAAATCAGCTGTTTTTATTAGCAACTGTATAGCCACTTCAGTAAGAATGCTTAATATTTATGATCAAATCTTACACATTTGTTGAGCACTGTGAAAATATTTCTAAATAGTTATGTCTATAGCCTTTTTAATAAATTAGTTTTAAGAAATATGAATTCACCAATACCCCAAGATTCTCTTTATCTTTCAGCAATTATATATGTGAATCAATCCAGATGTCAGTTTGTAAGTAGGACCTCAGTTTAATTATAAACCTACTATGGAAGTTAAAAATAGGTGAGCCTAAAAATACTCATTTAATCCAAAAATTTATATAGGCTAAAGCAAAGAAAGTAAAGAAAATATTTAATAAATTCTGAGAATTCCTATCTGGAAGTCTGTTGGGGAAAAAAAATCAAAGCTTTAACCTCAGGTCAATCTGTTTAATTTGGAAGAGCCACTTTAAACCTGATATCTACTATCCTTTTTAGTAATTTAAAATTGATCTAACTTTAAATTCTGAAGAGCAGAGTCACTTATGTTAGAAGAAATAAGCTAAAAACCAAAACTCAACTTTGAGAGGTCCTCGGTTCTATTTTTCACAAGACAAATTTGGAGGGAGTGAGGAAATTTGGATAGTTTTACTATATAAAGTAAATGTTAAAATAAATGGTTTTAATTATTTACTTTTCCTTTGTATATAAGATACCCTAAAATTGAAAATGTAAGTTTCTGATATCCTGAAGGAAATGTTTGCATTAATCCTACATTCCCAGGAAGTTTTGGAATTGTAGCAAGGGACACAAAAGACAAAGGAACATTTTCAGCTACTGAAGATAAGACAAAGTTCTCAAGTCTAAATTGTAAGACAGAGTTTTTTTTTGTTACTCACTCACCCTGGATTAGCCCACTAAGTTTGGAAAGTCCCAGCCAATCCCTGAAGGGTGATATAGTGCATCTTCTGCCCATAAGCCTGACAAACACAAACTCAAGGTATGAAGGCAAGCCATAGTGTATGTGTAATATCTAGAGCTGGACACTTTGTATGAAGTTTGATACCCTTGTCACGCCTCCTGTCTGCAGAAATATAACTAGATCCAGTTTTCTTACGCTATAATTATAAGAAAATGAGGGTAAAAAGCAATGCCAGGTGGGCGTGTGCTGAAAAGTCTATTTCCCACAGTGCTAGAAATAAACAAGGAAACTATGATCCTAGGAGCACAGCATGCAACACCCTGGCTTTCAGTACTTCTCTTACTCAAACATAATGCCTACCTTCCGTGTGGACTGCAGAGACATAGGTCCAATTGTAACGCTTGACTATGTCTAGCATTGCCCTCGCCTGCAAAGTGTCAGAAGGGACAACCCTCAGAAAGTATTTGTATAAAGTTTTGTCACTCAGGTCGATGCTCGTGGCAGAATAGGCGATCTGAGGGATGTCGAACAACTGCAGCAAGTTCTGGACTTGAATGGCTACAGAGCTGGAGCCTGGGCCGATCACACCAGCAATGGGCTTCTTAGTCCTGCCTGGGGGGAGGGTCTGGCCATCAGGCAGACACCGGTTGAGCCCGTCCTTCTCGTCTCGAATGGAAATCAGAGAGTCCCTGATGAACTCAATGCTCTGTTCCAGAGCCACAGACGAGTGCCAGCAGGAGTCCCGGATCTCGCTGCCCAGCGTGATGTTGGGCAGGAGGACCGGGTCCGCGTTAATCTTATCCAACGTGTGGAACATGGCCTCCACCCTCTGGATGCCATACTGCTCCCTGATCTCCCCGCATTTCCTTTCGGGCACCTTCTCCGCCGGAGGCTGGTGATGGACTGAGAAGAGAGCTCCAATGATGACATCCCCGTCCATTCTGGCCACAGAGCGCTGAGACGAGGCTCCTGCCAGCAACATTTTCCTATTGGGGCTTCTGGGGAGAATGGATATCTCCAAAAAGATCGCTGGGAAGAAAATCAAGAGGAGCCGGGCCATTGTGTTGAGGACGCAGTCCACAGACCGCAGCCGCGTTCCCACGCTGGTTGCTGGTCGCGCCTGCAGGCTCCAGCACGCACCTTCTAGACGCCCGCCGCTGCGCCCGCGACTGGGCGCCCCTCACCAGCACTGTTCGTCCAACGCCTACGCCGCCTCCACCACCGCCTCTTTCCCCTCCACCTCTTTCTCCTGGTCCTCCAAGACCGCCCCTACGCCCTGGAGGCGTTTTTCAGAGTAATCAAGTCCCAGTTCTTCGCAGGTGCATCAAGATAAATTGATGAGCGTTGTGCTGGGCACTGCTGATAAAAAAGGGGGAGGGAGAAAAATCAAAGCCGATTGATCAGAGGACCTGTGTTTAAACCTGAGGGTAGTGATGCTAATTGCTACCCGGTCCACTTCAATACATCCCGATAGCGGCTGCAGGAACAGCTCGGGAGGCAGGTCCGGTCGGTGAGGAGAGTGCTGCCTGCTGTCCCCAGCGCCCTCGTGGTCCCAGGCTGCTCAGAGCCCACGACTCGCCTTTCCCTGCGGCCCCAAGTCTCATCGAGTCCCCAGATACTTATCATGCTTGCAGACTAGGGGGAGGGAGGCATAGGAGCGACTAGGGACGGGTGAAGAGAGGAGGGGAGGAGCCATATCCTCCAACCTAAGAGAACTTTCCGAATTTGAAAAGATCAACTTTTCCCAGAAGAAAATTTGGAGGCTCGTTGCAAAGGTGGGAGCGCTACTGTAAAATGAAGACAAACAAGAGGTGCCTCTTTTACTCTAACTTAGAGGAGCTAAACAGAGCTGGACATACAATCCAAGTAGTAAATATAAATCTGCCAGTTTGTGGAAATCCACATTAGTTTCTAAGGCAACGCCTGGTAAAGTCTCCGTATGTTGGAGTTTAGTATGCACCGCACTCCCAAGAAGTCAGTCTTACTGTAAATGTTCAAGGAGAAGGGGTGACACTAAGGCAAAGTGTCTTCTGACTTTGGATAGAGACCCTTAGGCTTTGCATAGTTGCTGCAAAGGGAACAGAAGCGAGCGTCTGCCTGGATTTGACCATGGCATCTAGAGCCCTGCCGCGTTCAGCACCCTGGACAGAGCTCAGTCCAGCCGCAGACTGGTCCCCCGCCGGGCCTGCAATGGTTGCTTTGATAGTAAATTGCTATTCTGTGATCCCCCTTTTCTCTTTCAACCCCCCTCCTCGGTGTTTCTTACCCAGACGCACACATACACACGCACCGCACACACACGCGCGCGCACACCCCTCCCCTCGCCTCCCCACCACCACCTCTCCATCCTCATTCTCGTAGCACTTCTGCAGGTACATATTCAAACCCAACCGCCTGGGGTGGGGGGAGGCGCCAAATCTCAGCCTCCTGCTAGGCTGAAGTTGGCTCCCTCTCCCTCCCTCCCTGGATCCCTTTCTCAAGGTGAGAGTCAGACGAGAAAAGGGCTAGGGGATCAGGCAGGGAGTGAGAGCACAGGAGGGGAAGCAGGCAAAAGCAGCAAGGCAACCTAGACACCCACCACCCTGACGCTTCCCAGGCATGCAGAACTAAAAGAAATAAGCGAAGATGTGCCTGAAATCGGGCGGAAATCCAATAGATTGGGGCTGAGTCTGCGTTTGTGAGTAGGTGTCCGCTGACCCGTCTGACAGATGCAGACTTAAGACTTACCTGAGTCGGGCTAGAGAGATCTGTGGTTCCCGGGCCAGAGGACCGCGGCCGCCCTCGGTTCGCAGACGCCTCGTCTCCAATCCAGACGGTGTAAGGATGCAATCTGGGCTGTACACTAGTGCCCTCTTTCTTCAGCACTATTTTACCGCAAGGGAAAAAGGGGGGAAGGGAGGGAAGAAAAAAAAAGCAGGTCACCCATGGTTTGTCTATTATTTCATGCATAAAAATCAGTTGTTTAATAGAGGGGAGGGAAGTGAAGCTAGAGAGATGTACTCAATAATAATGATAATAATAATAATAATATATGGATTATTATTGCCTGTACTGCCTACAAGGAAGGTCTTAAAGAAGCTGTCAGACACATGAATAATCAGTCATATCTGCTTGAAGACATGACTGCTTAGGCTGTTTTCCAGTGGATATCTTTGTGTATTTCTCAGGAACGCAAATATATTTCCTCTATCTTGAAGTGAAGTCCATACCCAGGAAGTCAGAGTGTGAACATCACCCAGACATCTAGGGGAAAGCTCTATTTGCAGGGTGCAAGGGAAACGTGGGGGGCAGAAGAGGAAGGAGGGGCACCGACATCATAAATGGAGGAGCTAAATAGAGAGAGGCACGGCTGCCCTTTTGAGGTCAAGATGTAACTAAATTGAGAATGAGAGTCAGGTCACATGAAAACACTGGGGTGAAAAACACTTATCCAAATTCCTCCCAGGCTGCCAGCACCTTTCTAACAGGTCTACAGGGTTGATTCTTACTGTGTGAAAAGTGGAAGTGAAATCACATTCCTTTGGGAGCACACAGGCTAAGCAAGATGCATCCTGGCTTCTTCAAAAGAGAAAGACAAGTGACAGTGTCTTGTTTCCACACTTGTTCAGAGCTTCCTGTTTATGCCATCTGCAGAGCAGAGGTCAGCTTCTGTGGTCCCTTTCTCACTGTCATGCCCATTTCATCACTATATGATGATAGGGCGCCATGTCAGGAGAAAGGACACAAAACACAGGAGCAAGTTTCAAGTACTCTTTAGGGTATTCTTCTAAACTTAGGTAGGAAATGTCTTTAGTCAAGAACAAAAGGTCTTTCTTGTTCTGGGTCTCTTTTTTACCCAAATGTCAATTTTTTCTGGTTTTCTTGATTAATTTTAATAGCATAAGCTTTTTTCCTCACAAATAATGCACTGAATCACATACAAGCTGTTTAATAAAAAGATCTACATTCTAGAAGTAGCCACATGTTTACTCAAGGAAAATGGGAAGAGATATCTTAACATATAGAGCAAAGTCCTTCTTTGCTGAATCCTAGGAAGATGTTTGTTGCAAGAAGAAAAAGTTGTAGGTATTCACACTGTCCCTATGGTATCTCATTTCCCCTAATAGTCATTTATGTTAATTGCAGATAATGCTACTGTAGTTTTATAATCTCTAAATATGATTTTTCCTGGAAGATTTCATAAGTATAGTGAACATGCCACATATGAACAATCAATTACGATTTCTCAGATTAGAAAAAGTAATGTCTCTGAAGTCTACAGTTAGCTTTGGTATATACTCCTCAGTACTGGAAATATTTAATATTTGGTGAACTACTGGTGTAGTTCATTTGGGCTTGTTTGTTTGTTGGGTTTTTTTAAGGCCCGGTCTCACTATGTAGTTCAGATTGGTCTTAAACTCACTATAGAGCCTAGGCTGGCCTTGATTTAGCAGCAGTTCTCCTGTCTCAGCCTTCCAAGTGTTGGGATTATAGGTGTGCACCACTATGCCTGGCTTCTGCAGTTCAGAAAACATTCTACTACTAGAGTAATTCAATGTTCAGATTTGTTGGTTCTCAAATTCATTTTACAGTCAAAATAAAAGTTACACATTCAAGCTGGTTGAAACAAAGCACTATAAGGCCAAAAACCGTAAAGATCAAAGCATAGCAGACATATGTATCTGCTTGAATTATACTAGAGGTACTAAGGAACAGTTAATTTCAAATATATTAATGTCAAATTATCAGTTAAGTTTTACTACAAGTATTTAAGACCAAACTTTTGAAGACAAATGATACAAATAAGAAAAAAGAAAGTACTGAGAAGACTGCATCACCAAAATACACTTTGCCTTTCTGGAAGTAAAAGCTTCACCAGGAGGCAAGGCATAATACATTTGCCAACATTTCGGGAATGGTTCTACTAGAAAGACTGAAGAGAGTTACCAAAAGAATGATTTACACACAGATTAACAAAGAGAAGTTAATGTACTAAGAACTCTAAGGATAATAAAAGTTTATGAATCCCAAAGAACTGTCAGTGTGAATACTTATTCAGCACTGATAAAGTAGTATACTACTCTTAGTTTATGAGTTGTAGCAGGATAGACAATATTATCAGTATTTTAGTTTGGGGTGCCTGTTAATATAAAGTGTAGTGAAGATCAAGCAAAAGGATATCTGACACATTTTTTCAAGGTAATTGCTTCATGTACTGCTGTGCAACAAAATGCTCATCATCCTGACATGACAATAAAACAAATATTGCCCGTAAACAAAATGACCCTCTTTATGAATATGTACATATTTCTCATTGTTGTCAGTCATAGACGATTGAGTGTATTTTTACAAATGCATAAAAGGGCAAAAAGTTGCCCACACAAAATCAGCTGAACAAACCCTTCAAACTAGAAAGGTAAACATAAGATAAAGGAAAGAAATGGGTAAGTTAAGCATGTGTAGTGGATTGATAACTGGTGGTCAACTTATAACCCCCAGCTGAACTGAATGAGTGGTGCTGGGTGTGGGAGGCCCACCTGAGGACTGTTGCCAGCAGCATAAGAGGCAGACCTGGAGAAGAAGAAGCAGGCTGTTGGGAGCTGGGAGAAGCTGCTGGGAGCTGAGAGAGACCATGGGGAGCTG